TTTTTGAGGCTTCTTTAAAAAACAGCTTGTGACATTGGGTGTCCCAACACTAGAGGGATACTGAATATCTGGGTTTCATCATAATAATCATCAAGGGCATAAATAATGAGATCTTTAGTTGATATGCTTGGAATTGTGGTTGGTGGGCACAATATAAACAATTTACGTTATGCTTCATCGCAACAAGTCTGAAAGAACTACAGGAAATTTATAGACACTGTGGTGGAAGAAAGTGAAAGAATGGGCCTAAGTTTGAATAATAGGAAGACAGAAGTAATGGTGGTATCAAAGAAAAGAATTATTCCTTAATGTGTATTAAAAGTCAGTGGTGTTATTTTTGGACAAGTACAGAAATTGAAGTACCTGGGCTCACGGATGGCATCAGATGGAAGATGCATTACTAAGATAAGAAACAGAATAGGACAGGCAAACACCGCATTTTATAACATGAAGAACATATTGTGCAATATATCTTGAAGGTTAGAAAAAGATTTCTTCCTTTCTTCATACATCCAGTTTTAACATATGGCTGTGAGTCCTGGACAGTCGGTAAGCAGGCCAAACAATTTCTTGAGGCCTCAGAGATGTGGTTTTACAGAAGAATGCCTAAAATACACTGGACAACCAAAAAGTGCAACCAAGTGGTTTTGAAAGAGTCGGGAGCCCGAAGACAACTTATCACAGTCATCAGAAGGAGACAGTCATCATTTTTCGGCCATGTTATAAGAAGAGGGAAAATGAACATGTTGTGACCAATGGAAAGATCTGTGGTAGGAGGGAGAGAGTAAGACAACGAGAGAAGATTCTTGACAGTCTTGTTGCATGGCATGATCGCCCACGCCAGTAGGCAAGGCATCTCATGATGATAATGAGTGCACACGCCCTTTGGAGGTGACAGGTTCGATTCCTGGAACGGTAACAATAGCTTTCGATTTTCATGTTGTCTAGTGTGTTCTTCTATTTTTCCACTGCGGTACTCTCTGTATAGCCGTTCACAAACAAGAGAAATCCACAGGTCAAGGGACAGTCTATTATTTCAGGCGTGGTAGATTAATCATATAGTTTAGTAATTTGGCATTTCATTTGACGTGCAGTTATGTGCTGTCATATTTGTGTGCTTCTGGTTTGTGTGCAGTGCAATTTTTTTTTGCTGTGCATTTTTGTGTATGTGTTGTGGACTGTATGTGCAACCAGGAGGATGCAGTTTTTGTTGTTGTTGTTGTTTGTTGTTGAGGATGCCGTTTTTTTTTCTTCTGGGGAGTGGAATGCAATTTTGCTGGGAAAGAGGATGCTGTTTTGCAATTTGCTTGTGTGAAACTTTACGTGCAGTCGGTACTGGGGTAACCCGGAAACCCGGTCTTACCAACCTTTAAAATATTGGACTGTCCCGTGACGTCATTTGTGGTCGGCAATTAAGAAATAACTGCCTTTTTTTTTTTTTTTTGCAACTGCTGCACACCGCTTGAACTCTTGTACTTTTTCTTTTCGAACTGTTGTACCAGTTTTCTAGTTACAGTTTGTACTGTATTTAGTACTCCGTTGATAAAGACTTTGATCGAAAAGTTCGGTAGTGTTTGTGTGCGTCTTTTGTATTCCCCCCGTTGAGTTAAAAAAAATTATAGTAATAATTTGTGTTTTATTGAGCATTTCTAAAGGTAAACAAGTTAAAGAATGAAACAAGAACTATAACATTAAAGTCCAAATGATCGACGTCATGTTTTGTCGCATACGGCTTGGGTTCTCTCTGCAGAACAACTAGCCACCTGCCGAGAGAGGTCACACAAAGCACCAACTTTGGCTATGTTGATGATCCCCGTGGATTTCCGTAAACACTGAGTTTATGAACCAAACGACGCTGCCGTGAAACGAACTGACGAAGTTCAGACGCGAAGTAAACGGTTTGACCACTTCACAACAAAGACTCCCAAAACATGAGAGTTATGAAGCCAACCAATATAAGTCGAGGCATATATATATATATATATATGTGTGTGTGTGTGTGTGTGTGTGTGTGTGTGTATAAGAGGATTAGAAAGGGTTAGAAGTAGAGTCAAACAGACTGGGGATTTGGGAGGAGGTGGGGGAATGGCAGTGCGAGTTGGCAAAAGATGGAAGGCTTGGTTGAGAGCCTAGCCTAGGGAGAGAAAAAAAAAACCAGCAGGATAATGAGGTTATACGGGAGGATGGGAGATAAAGGAGCCAAAATGTGATGAGAACAATAAGAAGATTGTTGGAAGCGACCGACTCGAGACTAAACAATTGCAAATACCTTGTACTCTCTCTCTCTCTCTTTCTCTCTCTCCTCTCTCTCTCTCTCTCTCTCTCTTTCACGCGCTATAATACAACAGGAACCACTCACTCATAACTGAGCTGGTCTCTAACGCAGACTGGACTCCCAATCAACGTTTACCCTTTAATTGAACCCGCACCTGCCAGAAGCTTTGTCCAAAATGAGGACAAGGCCATACCGACTGGGCCTTTATTATAAAAGTGCAAGCAGAAAGTATCGCGCATGACTTTAGTCTGGATTTTCCTTGCCAACGTACAGAGTTTTTCACCGCGATCCCTGGGAAAACAAAAGTTATAGCAACCTTGCACACCATCGAACCATTCTTGTTTCTATATCCATTCCATTATGCATTCGGATTCTAAGAAGGTAATGTAATTATTTCATTTATTAATAGTTCGGTCGAGCGCACGTGCGCGTTTAAAATTCCTCACATTATCCTTCTGTTGTGCCATTACATGCCAGTTCATTCTCCCATTTCGTTCTCTCCGGTGCAGTCCTGTAATTAAAATTATCCATAATATAAATAAACAATTCTTTGCATTTCAAGTACCCAATGTCTTTTCAGCCGGACTTGTTTTTAAACATGATCTTGGCTCCCAAAGTCACCCAGTCTTAAATTGCTACAAGGTCAAGCCATGGGAAGTAAAGGCGACCGGCGTGATGTTGACCACATACTCACCTAGTGCCGAGTGGACTATATAATAGGCCTTGCACTAAATGCCCAGTACGTGGAAGACTTGGAGAAGTCTCCTTGACTTTACCATCCTCTTTCGTTGGCTAAAATAAAATAAATTGCTGTAAAATATTGTCTCTCTATTTAAACCTTGCGGTTTTATTAGTTGTAATATCCCCAAAGAAAGCAGTAATTATTGCACTGAACTATGAAATTCACACATCTTACAATTGTAAATATATAATTTCCATAATTAGTAATTTGTTTTGTTCATTAATGGAGATGCTTTATTTGAAAAAGTTATTTGACTGTCTACTCACTTTCGCCGACCCAAAGGTCTAGGGTTCAAATCGAGGCGGATTTCTGTCAAAACTGATCTTGGCTCTTAGGTTGACTCATGCTCAGATAAAAGTAACGGTCCCTCTTCACCGATATTGGGCATATAGAGCTAGACATATATTTTTTATAGACCAATCAGCAAGCTTTTGATGATGTAGTCAACATCACCTCTGTTGCCTTTGCTTCCAAAGGACTATACCTGGTACTAGGTCAAGGCTGGGTCAGTCTGAAATGCAAGGTCATTTTTTGTAAAAAGACTAGCTCCCTCAGGATCCGAACCCACAATTTTCCGATCCGCGGGCAAGCGTCTGGCCGCTACACCATAGCCCACCGTCATCGTGCTATGCTGGGGAAAAATCACCACGTTTAACCAGCATGGCCGAAGAGGAAGCTTTAGGTTGTAACTGTAACTAGGTTATGTACACCATAGCCCACCGTCATCGTGCTATGCTGGGGGAAAAATCACCACATTTAACCAGCATGGCCGAAGAGGAAGCTTTAGGTTATAACTGTAACTAAGTTATCTACACCAGATAAAATGGCCTAACACTGCAGCCACCAAAACCCTGAAAAGGACTCCTGCAGTGTTGATGCGATCAAAGGAGACAGACTTAATTACTGTACGACTAGGGACGAAGTCATCTACCTGTGAGCTAATGGGCCACTCGGTCGCTGATGTACTACATCACAGCAGTCCCCTTCTTGCTCATTGTTGAATGTTGACCTAAGAATTGACATAGCAGCACTCAGGACACTCCCATAATTGTTCCGTCCCCATCTTCAGCAGCAAGCGTACATCCGTGTAGCCCTTCCCTTGAGTGTTGAGCGTTGGCCAGGTCCCCTGGTAACTCCTTGCAGTGCCATTCTTCTCAGACCAAAATGATCTATCTGCACCGCCACACTGTTCGCTCGTTACCAAAGGGCCCACACAATATCTAGCTTGTCATACATCATTTCACCACCAAGTGGTGAAGAGCCCACCAGTCTATCTGCCTGCTTATTTCCCAACACACCGACATAACTCCTCCCCCCCCCCCTCCCCCCCAAATGCTCAAATAAAATAGGTACCATGTAATGAATGTCCTAGGAATTAAAGGCTACTTGTGTGACCACATCCAGTTCCTCTTGGTCTATACAAACATAGGTCAAGCACTTTATGCCTGATGGGCCAGATGTGTGAGGGGGGGGGGGGGATCATTTACGTTACTTTTTACTTGTCACTTTCAAGTCTGTTCCATCCACATGTCCTTTTGATTTCAGATAATGAATAAATGTCAAAGAACCAGCAATATGAATTTAATTATCAGCTTATGGCTTGGTGCAAGCCTTCTTTCTAATCACACATTATCCCTTGGTATAATGTTCATTTTTTTATTTGTAAATTTGAAAAAAAAATTACATTCTGACTATGTTGTGTAATGTGTTTTGTACTGTGAAAATGTCATGTACTGGGGAAATGTTGTGTACTGTAGGAATGTTGTGTACTGTGAGAATGTTGTGTAATGTGAGAATGTTGTATACTAGGGGAATGTTGTGTATTGTGGGAATGTTGTGTAATGGGGGAATGTTTTGTACTGTGAGAAATCTGTGTACTATGGGAATGTTGTATACAGTGAGAATGTTGTTTCATGTCTCAAAAAACAGTCACTAGTTATTGAAGCCAAGTGTTAGAAAAAAGAGACACAGTGACCAAATAAGAAATGGAAGGTAAACATCCTTCTCAGGAATGTTCAAGTTGGTCGAGGATCAGGCTCGCCGAGCCTTTCACCTTTTCCCTTAAAATTAGAGACTTACCTGCGCTTGGCCAAGATACCATATATGGTAAGATAGAATTATAGAGAATACACTAAAATACTAATTCATTTTTTCCATTATTGTTTAGTTAAGTATGTTCATAATAAACGTGTGTAGAAGTGCAGCTGAAATCTCACAGTTTGTGATAAACATTTGTGCTACTGTAGCAAAGGACTGTATGGTTAATCAGAGATAACTGTGTAAGAGGTATGGTGGTGATGATGAAGAGGGCAGGAAATTAATATTTAGCCTTGAATAATTTTGACAGAATGACCATTCAGGCCAGATGTCCAGCAAAGGGAAAACACCATGGATGATGTACAATGGACAAGTAGTTGCTGACTCTCAGTTTTGTATCGAGTTCCTCAAACAGAATCTGCATATGGATACAGACAAGCACCTGACTAAACAGGAACAAGCTGTGGCCAGAGCACTTAGAGAACTTACAGAGGAAAACTTATACTGGTATGTTCACCTTTTAGCAGACTATATCAGTGCATCTCTAATATTACTATCCTCATTTTAATAGTTATGTTAATTTCTGTATGTGGTCATATTTATGATCTTTCTCTCCTAATGAATCAAGCCTTTGTGGCTTTGGGATGACTGTAGGTGAGGATAGTGAATGACAGACTAGCACTTAGATGACCACTTAGTGACTGCACTTTCAACAGCCCACAGGAGTTTCTGACAAGGACATTGTGACAGACGAGTGAAGACTTAGGATTCATGGGGGAGCTGACTAGCCGTGTGGTGAATAGTGGACTGGACAAAATGGACAGAGGGAAGGGTTGTTGGGGAGTTAGCTCAGAGACCTAGACTGAGATGTCTTGTGTTTTGACCATTAGATGTTTTAAGTTAGCAACGGCTAGTTTGTGGTTAACATGTTAGTTAGCTTTACTGTATTATAATTTAAATGTAATGTATGTGTTATAGAGAGATAGCCCATTAAGTTTAATTATAGATGTTTTCACTCTGGTACTTAGCTGTGTCTTAGCGAGATGGTACTGCAAATGTAAAGCAGAAGACAAGAATAAGTTCATGGGCATAATACCCAGGCAACAGAATGCACTGATGTGGTCCGTCTGATGATACAACCCAAAGCCGTGCAGTAGCACAGCAGTCACAGTGTAAGATGCAATGGCACAGGAAAGAGCTTAGGTCAGAAGCTGTTGGTTTAGATCTGGTTAATGCCTGGAAGCAACTGGAGGGCCAGTGTGTGAATGGTGATTTTAAACCACAAGGTTTGCAGCTACTTTTGCTTTTTTATGTGTGTATGAAGTGTACAAAAATAGACAGGAAACATTAGTGGAAGCATTTAGACTTGAAGATGCCTACAGTAGAGTCAGATATTATATTTTGAAATCTGCATTCATGAAGAAGAACTATGCAATATCAATCCTGAGACTAACATAGGCTTCTGCGATTCCACCAGAGTTCTCCATTGAATATACAAGCAAGATTTCAGAACTGAAGCACCTGGCATATTGACATTTGCAGATGATGTTCTTGCATATAGGCAAGGGAGCGATAGACAACAGGCAGCTAAAGAGCTACAAGGAACTGTAGACAAAGTGACTGAGTGATGTACAGAAACATGGAATAAAGTATGCTGTTCAATGTTCCAATCTTTTCTGTAATAGATTAGAGACTGCTTACCATATCAAAGAGTCAGCTGCTGAAACTTAAACACCTACAGAATAAAGCCATGAGCGTAATTCTGCCATGCACAATAAATAACCCAGTAGTATTATGCAATATACATGTTCAGTGCCAACTATTCTTTATAGGTCTCCCTGGGGTGAAGAGGATATTCCACAGCTGTGGCTTCTCCACCTTCCACCTCCATAGCTACAGAAAGTGTCAAGAGGGTCGGTGTATCACTTACCTCTCTCTCGTTGTACTTCCAGAGGAGATTAATGTGATAGACCTTTGATTTACCTTTAATGTTGATCTTATAATGGATCCTGGATATCTTTTCTCCCACCGTATAAGGGCCTCCTCAAGCTAATTCTAACTTAGACTTCCCTGAATGTAGATGCAAAAGAATCATCGTTCCTTCGTTTACCGGTTGAAGTGTGCAGCGTATCTCTTACGTGCACAAATCATATTCTCCTTAGCCAGGTCCCACCCTAGCTTTAACCTTTCCTTGAGTTCCTGTACATATTGTGATATGGTTTTCAAGGAATCATCTGCCCCTTAGTCTGTCCATGTCTTCCTGAGAATGGTCAAGGGTCCGGGAATGTGTCTTCCAAACACCAAGGTCGAGGGCGGAAATCCAGTAGAGGCATTGGGTACTTCCCGGTAGGCAAATAGTACTGCAGACAGATACTCGTCCCATCTCTCTAGCTTTTCCTGGGTTAATCTTCTCAGAAGCGATACCAACGGTCCATTAAACCGCTCATTCTGGCCGTTTGCTTGGGGTCGGTATGGACTGGTGCAGATGTGTTGAGATTTGATTATCTGAAAAACTTCCTCCATTAATTTCCCTCGGAACTGAGATCCATTGTCTGTCAGTATCTGCGAAGGGAATCCCACTATTGTGAAGATGCTCATCAGTGCCTCTGCCACAGTCTTACTGTCGATCTTCCGAAGGGCGATAGCCTCCGGCCAGGCCAAACAACAGTCTACCAAGGTCAAAATGTAAGCATTCTTCTTCTTTGTGAGAGGAAGTGGTCCCACCAGATCGACCGTGACCCTTTCAAAAGGTGTGGAGGTGACAGGAGTTTCCACCAATCCGACTGGAGCCACCTTCTGACACTCCGGACAGGATTTGACATAACGCATGATATCTGCTGACATACCTGGCCAAAAGTAATGACAAGCAATGCGTTGTGTCGTTGTATGAATTCCCATGTGGGCACTGTAGGCTATAGTGTGTCCCATCTGGAGAATCTGCTGTCTATATGTTTTAGGTACCACAAGCTGACTGTGTTCTGTATACTTGTCACTTGCCCATCTATAAAGTATCTTACCTTTAATGAAAAATTCTCTCTTCTGAGGGGGATTGTGACTTGCAGTTAATTTTTTTAAACATGCCTTAAGAGTTGGGTCACTACTTAGGGCCACCTTGATTTCCTCAGGTAGAGGATTTACATGAGGAGAATCTTCTGAGGCACTCTTATGCTGTGCTCGGGTGGTCACCGCAGCAAGATGCTCTGAGGGTTTCTTCGGCTCTGCTAAAAATAAAGCGCCTAGAATTAAATCAAAGGTACAGTGTTCAAGCACTGCTGACTCAATTACCCCCGAGACATACTTTGATTTGACTTTAATCTTAGCAATCAGCAAGTTTAAAGGTTTAGCATCCAATATAGCACATTAGAGCTCTATGAATCTGCTTGTATACTGGTCAGGTTTTACAAACTCTGGCCTCACCACAGTTCCGTACGAAAATCTGCTATCATATAGACACTTTAAAAAATATCCGTTAGCCCAGATCCTCTCTACCACAGGTGGCCTATTGGAACCATTGTACAACTTTTCGTGGGTAGAAGGTACTACAGTAGACAACAAAGCTGATACTTGCAAACCCCCTGACTGTTTGGATTTACACTCACTAGTCCAGTGGTTATTGTTCTTACAAACTTTGCAGTATGGCTTTTTAGGTCCATTAAAGGGTTGCCTCTGTTGTGTTCCCTGAAATTTTGAGGGGTTCTGGGGTTGTGCTTGGGATGAATACTTTTTAGGGGATTCATTTGGATGGGTTTTATGACCATTACCACCATTCTTCCTTTGGGTTTCCCATCTATACACACCTCTTTATGTGCCATCTCATACCTCTCAGCATACATCAACATCTCACTCAGTCGGTCAGCACCATTCTCCGTCAAGAACATTTGCATAGGGCGAGGTAATGTCTCTCGGAGTTGCTCCGTTAGGACCATCTCCTGTAAATCTTCAAAAGAAGAAGAGTATCCAGACATTTCCCTCCACCTAGTCAAATATCCCTGAAGGCGACTGGCGAACTGGGGATAGTTCTCCCCTGTCAACTTTCTCTTATTTCGGAACTTCTGTCTGTATGTCGCAGCATTTAGTTCGAAACGTTTCAGCAAAGCCTGACACAATGCATCATAATCAATCTCAGTACCGGTGGGCATCCGCTGATAAATCTCATATGCCTCACCCCGCAAACCTTGAGCCAACTTCAACGTGTACATATTCCTTTCTAAATTGTACAAAGATGCCAATTTGTCAAATCGGTCTAGGTACTGTTCAATATTCTCAGCCTTTGGGTCGAAGACTGGCATAGAAAAGTTCATCGCTTGAGCCTAGCTACTGTGCACCATCAATCTCAGGTGTAGGAGATCTGGGTCTATTACCCTCTCTCTGCGCCTGAAGTTCCAATTCTCTTAATCTTACTTCCTGTTCCAATCTCATTCTTTCTGACTCCCTCTCAGACTCAATTCGGAGTCGCTCGGTGTCTTGAATCCTCTCAGATTCAATTCAGAGTCGTTCGGTTTCCTTTTCTGTCTCAATTCTGAGTCTCTCTGCCTCACGGGCTTCCATCCTCATCTCACGTTCCGTGGTTTTGATCCACTCGGTCATTTCCTTACCCTCCAATCCTATCTGGACAGCCATGTCCTTCAATTCCTGTATAGAAATTTTTGACTGCGACACCCACCAAGGTTGTACCTAACCCCAATATACTGGAAACACCACAAAACCCCACAACTTGATCACAGATCACTCCTAAGAGTACATTCTAAGAACTGACACAGAGTGGTCACAATGTGTTAACAACAAAATACAAACACTGAACAACCTCGTGGCCAAGATCACCAGCAACTTTAAAGATTGAACAGAGTATACAAACAATATCCTGACGAGACCACAGATTTTTGAGGATATGTGTTCTGTCACATATCACTCCTGTCGCGTGCCTTTTTTAAGGATTTCTCCTTAAGAACCAACAGCACTCTGAAATAATTATGTTGAGTCATTGGCTCGTATTGGTCTAAGGGATGCCCCATGGCCAATATACGCTCAACTTATTTCAGGAGGGCAACTCAAGTGTTGGCACTACAAAATATATAATATTCCTAGGCACACTTGGCTGGACACCCCCACTACTATAAAAAGATAGCCCCCAGGTTGATAGTTTACTATCATAACCATGTTAACACAGATAACAATTATTACTCACACAAACATCAAAGCTAGACAGTTAGAATGGTGAAATAGGGACCTCCAAGTCAGCCATGAAAATTTATGCATGTAATCAGTACAATATATACATAAAATAGTGAATAGGTAAACAAGATCTCAGTGGATGGAGCTTAGTACACAATGACACGACCCAGATATTGAAGCAGCCAGATTGCCTTGAGATGTACACGAGTTCATCACTGGAATCACAAGGAGCTGTGGGAAAAGAGCATTATGGTAATTCATAGATTACTTATCCCAGTTCATAGGTCGATGCTCCACTCAGTCCATGGTGATTCGACTGTAGTTGACTCAGGTAT